CCCAGCATCCCATATGGTCCCCTGAGCACCACCGGGAGTAATTCCTGAGTGCAAAGCCAAGAGTAACCCCTGTGCATCACCCGGGTGTGGCCCAAAAAGCAAAAAAAAAAAAAAGTGCAAGGTAAGATCATTCATTCCGAGAGCCAGGACACTCAGAGTCTTAGCCCTACACTGGACAGAGCAAAGTCCATGCAAAAAAAAAAAAAGCAGCAAGACAGGACAAAAGGCTGCAAGTGACCCCTTGCCCCTCCCCCCTCCACACCAGGAACAGAGGTTGCCACAGCCTCAAAGCTGAGTCAAAAGATTCAAATACAACATTCTGAAGTTGTTCTAATGATCAGAGCTGCTGTGGGCAGGACGCCTTCAAACCAGTGACCTTGGCTGCTTATCGCCATGGTAACGGCGCACAGCCCCAACTGCTCCTTCCTGTGTAGGAGGGAACATTTCAGACAGCAGGAAAGGCACAATCAATCGAGCAGAGGTTTCCTCTCGGTGACCCTATTCCCTGAGACAAATGTCGTCCTCTTCCTGACCATACAGTCTCCTGAGAAAACCGTCCAGCAACGGAGATGCTTTCAGTGGCTTTGCAAATCAAGGTCCAAGATACACGTTTGCAAAAGCAAAAGCTGGAGTGGCTTTGTCTTGGGTTTCCCGGAGCACTGAGTGACCTGTCAGCGTTGCCCCATTCTTTTCAGAACCAGATCCCCAAAGGAGAGTACCAGTTTGCCCTACACAGGTGGATAGAGGCAGCAGGTGGAAAAGATGGGGATAGGTCCCCCATGCTACAGGCTAGGGAAAAAAGAACAGACCCAGTAAGAATAAACCAGAGCAAGAATGACAGTACAGATGGCAGCACCCCTGCCTGGCACACAGATGAACCGGGTTCCATCCCCAACATCCCATAGGGTCCCCAGAGCCCACCAGGAGTGATGCCTGAACTCAGAGCTAGGAGTAAGCCCTGAGCATCATCGAATGTGCCCCCAAATAAATAAAAAATAATTTTTAAAAAAGAATGAACCTCTGTTCAACCCTCCTTCATATCCTGCCTTCCTCTAGACCTCGCCTGAGTCCCCCCACGCTGGCCAGGGAGGCTAACATTACTCCCGCCAATCCCATCCCCCATGAGACTCCCTGTGATCGTCTCCAGCAGGATGCTCTATTGGGGGTAAGAGAGAAGTGTGTTCGGCTCCGCCCTGGCCATCAACTGCGTGGTTAACTCAGAGAGCATCTGTGCCGCTGGGTCTGGGATCTGCAGTTGATCGATGGCTTCGCTCGGGCTGGACGCTGCAAATGCGGGTGTCTGGCCACGCAACCCTCGGACGGCAGCTCTGCGCGCACCCGGGTCCACTTTCCAACCAGAAGCCAGAGCCCAGAGCGTTCCCTCTTTGGCTCCAACTTCAGCCGTTCCCCGTTGTGTAGATCCCATGATGCTCTCTCTGTGAGAGAAATCTCCTTCTCAGCAGCATCCCTGCCTGACTTTGACGTCTGAAGGTGTAATTAGAACAGCATGGCCCAGGCAAAGTGATCCATTTACCTCATCCCTAACATTTAAGCTCTTTAAAATATGTTTCAGATATCTTAGGTGCATGGGGCCAAATTCCCTTCTCCGTTTTTCACATGCATGAGTAAATCCACACAGACTAAACCCCTTGGGCCTTAGGTTCTGCTTAGAAGTTGTTTCATTTTTTTTTTAAGAAAACAAATATTCCATTAAAAACGACATAGTGTACTCTGCATATTTTTAGGACAATTAGAGTTTAGAATTCCCTCTTCTTCCGCCCAGGGCAAAAAAAAAATAAAAGTCTTTCTTAACTCTTTCCTTCCCAAGAATAACTTGAGATTAGGAGACCTGAACGGACTTTCTAGTCTTTTAAAAATAACCTTCTCAGTCAAAATACCAACTAGAGTGTTGAGATCCTTGATGACTGTTTGTGATGGAACCAGGGCCCCCGGTACCTTGGCCAGATAAATCCATTAGAAAAACAGTTATTTGTGAAGCGATAGCACAGTGGTAGGGTGTTTGCCTTGCACGCAGCCAGCCCGGCCGAGCCAGGTTCGATTCCTCTGCCCTTCTCGGAGAGCCCGGCAAGCTACCTAGGGTATCTTGCACATGCAACAAAGCCTGGCAAGCTCCCCGTGATGTATTCCATATGCCAAACACAGTAACAAGTCTCAAAGTGGAGATGTTACTGGGCCACAAATCAATGAACAACAATGGGAGGACAATGTTTGTTGTTTGTTTGTGAAGCCAATGGAAACCTTGACTTGAAACAGAATGCCTGATGATTAGGAGACTGAGAAGCAGGAAGAAGGGCTCCCTCTACCATCTGCTTAATACAAAGTGGGTCACTGAGGCTGCTCCTTTTTCTGTAGCACTTCTGGCCATGTCCTTGTGATCATTACAGGGAGATGACAGCAGTTGGCAAGCCTGAGCACTGTGGCAGAATCAGTCAGGCCGAGAGGGAGGGCCAGGGAACAGCAAGCTTCTCGCTGAGGTCCCAGGGGCGGGCGGGAAAGGAGGGCATCCCTTGCTCCCAGCCCCTGTGCATCTGTTTGCTCCTGAGCTCATTATTTTGTCTATCGAGCGGTTCCCTACCCATCCCTCTGAGCTGCTGTGGTCACATGTGCAGAATCTCTGCCAAGGCAACCAGCGAAGCAGGCATTTTTTTTTCTCACAACCTAATTTAGAACAAGAGGTTAGCGGCATTTACCGTGGAATGCCGTGTTGGCATTCAAAGACCCCCACATTAAAAGGGGGGTGTATGTCAGACCCCTCCGCAGCTTGTTCTCATTCCTTGTGAAGTACCTCAAAGGGCTAAAAATCTCAGCCCCATGCTCGCTTCTGGAGGGGGCCCCAGATGAGCTGACCTGGAAGAGGATTCCAATCAAGGAAGGCTCGCTGACCAGTGCTCAGAGATGCCATTAGACACAGGGGCTTGGGTGGGGGAGGAGCAAAGAAAGCACTCGGAACTTCCTAGAGAAAAAAAAAGTGTCTGTTTATTTAAATTAAAAAAAAAATATTGTGACATTGACAAACCGTTAAATACAGAAGATCATTTTTCTACAACTCAATAGAACGAGGAGGAAGTATATACATCACTTCTAGTAAGCGAGATAGACTCGCTCCAAACTGCAGGATGAAGCAATGGAAAATGTGACGGTGCACATGTCCGTCGCAGTCGAGTTTCAGAATTCAAGTGATTCCAGGCAAGGGGCCAAACTTAACTTGGCTTCTTTCACCTTAAACAGCCCCTTTGGAGTAAAACCATACTCGGAATTTGAAAGGGAATGGCGGTCCCCTCCGTGGCCCCTCAAACATAAATTTCCTCCAGCACTGTGTTAAAGCAAGCTGATAACCCAGCTCCCGCACAGTTAACCCTTCCGTGGACACAGAAATGACTGCTCTCTCCAATCCAGGAGGAATCTGGTGGGCTGAGTTCCCACCCCCCCCCCCCACACACACACACACCCGTCTGTGTTTTTGTCTTGTCTTCTTTTTAATAGACGTCAGTCTGAATTTTTTGCTGTGTTTCTCTTCCTCCACATTCTGAAGAATCAGTCTAAAGGGTCTGCCACAAAGCTGTTCACCCACAGGAATATACGGAGGCATGGGGTCAACTTTCCTGGGCATGTTTTGTCTTTGATTCCCTTCACTAAAGGGTTAACACCCACCACCCTGAGAACCTTGGTGGCCTGTTGGGTTAGATTCCATGCTGGGTGAGCCCCCCTGCAGAACTGGTTTGGTGATTCTCCCCGAATTTCCCCAGTCACGTGACTTCGGAGTCACCCACTGCTTCTTTAAGAAAACAGTTCCTTTGCAGACTCTCTGGCCGAGGGAGAAAGAGTTTGTCCAAGCTCCCTCGCACCAGGCTGCACAGCATTTATCAGAGTCTTAAGAATCTCAAGACATCCTCCCAGCCCCCTGGGGAATCTAGATCATCAGAAATCTCATGAAAGCAGTAAAGCCTCTTGATGACATGCCCAGGACCACACAGCAAATCCGTTTCACAGCCCAAGATCAGGAAACAACACAGAACTTGGACCCCCAGCTCGGGGCACTCTCCGCCCGAGTTTGCCCCGCTAGGTCTCAACTACGTGACGAAATCCCATATGGTGGAGGCCCACATGTTGTCCCAGTTTGGAAAACAAGGCTGGGAAAAAAAGCAGCAGCAGAACTAGTGGTTTGGCCTTGTTCAACCCCTTCTGGAAAGATCACGGAGAGGAGCTCTCTGCACCGCCATTCAAAGGACAGAGTCGCTTTCTGGGGAAACCCTTCCAACGCAACACGAATGTCATGCCAACAAGCAATGCTGGGTAGTCCCAGGTCAGGCCCCCAGTTCGAGGTTAACCAAGTCAAAAGGGATCACGTCCTCATCCTCCCTGCTTTTGAAGTTGCGTTTTTTTCCCCCTTTACAGTTTGTCAATGGGAAAGTCCAACTCTCTCCCACCAAAATATCTTCCATCACGTTCCTCCAGTTCCACCCATCCAAAGGTCTTCTGAAAGTAGACCTGCTGGGGACACAGGCCACTGGGACACGCGAGAGGAACTTACAAGCAATCAGAAGAACGGAGAGCTCTGAGCAAAGGAGCACTTCCAAACGAGTCCTGGACTGGGCATTGGGTGGTCCTGGATGCAGACAGAGGCTGCAGGACTTACCGGGAATCCAGTAAGAAAGCCATGGCCAGCATTTGCACCTGCTGAAGTCCACGCCCCCTAAATGATCAGCCTCAGCCCTTCAGCAGGACACCAGGGGCTGCTCAGGTGACCGCACACTAGGAGCCCCGGGTCCCTTTGCCGCTGCTGAGCTGGCTCCAGCTAACCCTCATCCCCCCCCCCCCACACACACACACCCTCCACACCCCCCTGGGAGGGTGGGAGCTGCTGAGGGTCTTTCTAAGGGGCAGCGGCTCGGCTGCAGTGACAGTAGACACACCAAGTGTCCTTCCGCTCTTTAGGCTACTGACCGTCGGGGCCACCTCCAGACGCCCTGTGGGGGGTGCTAGGAATTCTGGTGGATGTTCTCCGAGGAGCCCTCGCTGCTCTCGTTCAGGGGCGTCTCGGAGGTCTCCTCCAGTTCATCGTCCGCCCCCTCCTCCTGGATGGTGAGGTGCACGTCGGGCGAGGAGGACTCGGAGCTGACACTGTCCCCTTCCATGGAGCAGAGGGTGCAGGACAAGGCGGGCGCCACGCTCTCCTGCAGCACGTTCAGCATCACGGGCACCGGCACCGACCTCGGGCCGGACACAGGGGCCAGCGGCTTCATGGCCTCGGCCCACAGCCGCTCCTCGTCTCTGTACAGTAGCAGCAAGCTGGCGCGCTTCTCCCGGCGCTTGGACTTCATGTAGCCCAGCATGATGCCGATGAGGAAGACGCCGTAGAAGGACATGACCACCAGGATGTAGAAGTACTCATTGCCGTTGCTGCTGCTGCTACTGCTGTTACCGCCCCCGCTGGGGATGTGGGACTCCAGGGGGCCGCGCAGGGTAGCCGGGCTGGGGGTCGTGCTGTTCAGAGGCTCCATCTCCAGCATCTGGGCGCTGCTCAGGCGGCCAGGGTCTGGGAGAGGAGAGAGGAGGGGAGGACGCTGCGGGTTAGAACTTTGCCACCCACCCAGGAGTAGGCTGGGGGGAGGTGGCAGGGAAGGAAGGTATGCACCCAGGAAGTGCAAGAGCCAAGTGCAGAAAGGCTTCCAAATGCAACAGAAGCATCAGAGAGAGATGGCATTGAAGAATCGCAGGGACTAACTCGAGTGTGTCTATGGGCATCGCCTGTGCATTCCACAAAGCGAGCCCGTCAAAAAGCAATGCTTTCTCTTTCATGTTTGTAAAAACAAATAAGAGAGGACAGAGGGAAATAATCCCATTAAGATGCAGGAGCCTAGAAAACAGAACAGCAAAGAGCCTTTGAATCACTAGGAAACTTTTTTTTTCCCCCCCGCACCCACAAAGCGGGCGAAAGAGAAAACATAAACACGAGAATTTTGCTCCTCAGACTTCAGTTTTCATTCAGAACATAGTTTCCCTAGGACGCAGACAAGTCCATCCCGTCCCAGGGAGAAGTCGCCTTCCTGCAGACGTTTCTGATGCTACGGAGTCTGGCTCACTTACCAAAAGCTGGCAGATTCATCCAGGGTCCTGAGTTCCCGGGTCCCGTCCTGTTGCTCCTGCTCCCAGCCGGCTCTGTCTCTGACACTCTGCCGCCGCCTTTGGGATATATAGTCAAGACATGCATCGTCACGTGTTCCGGGAGGAAAATTTACAACAGAGCTTGGTCGTGGCAGAGTGAACTCCAAGGGCTGCAGTTCAACTCACTCCACTTGGCAGCTGTGAAAAGGAACTGGCTGGGAGCCGGGGATGGGGTTGGGCATGGTTCCCCCTCTCCCCAGCGCCCCGCGACCCTTATCAGGTGGCCTGCAAAGAAGTGGGGAGAGGAAGGAAAGAATGCACCCCCATCGAAACTGCACCCCCAGGGTCTGCTGTTGTTGGAGATCACTCTAGGCGCCCCTCCCTTTGGGGTTAGAAGTAAAATTTGCGCTGTGGGCTGCCGGGGTGATCAGATACCCTAATCTGGGAGCGAGCAGAGGGAATTGGAAGCAGACGTTACTGTGAAGAAACTTGGGCTCAGAGAGAGAGAGAGAGAGAGAACAGTGCCTGCCATAGAGGTAGGTAGGGGGAGCAGGAGAGAAACTGAGGACATTGGTGGTGTGAAAAGCACACTGGTGAAAGGATGAGTGTTGGGACATTGTATGACTGAAGCCCAATCATGAACAACTTTGTAACTGTGTCTCTCACTGTGATTCAATTAATAATAATGATAATAATAATAATAATAATGGGCTGGAGTGATAGCACAGCAGGTAGGGTGTTCGCCTTGCACGCAGCCGACCGGGGTTTGATTCCTCCGTTCCTCTCGGAGAGCCTGGCAAGCTACCGAGAGTATCCCGCCCACACGGCAGAGCCTGGCAAGTTCCCCAAGGCATATTCGATATGCCAAGCACCGTAACAATAAGTCTCACAATGGAGATGTTACTGGTGCCTGCTCGAGCAAATCCAATGGGGGGACAGTGCTACAGTGCAATAATAATAATAAAAATAAAATAATAATAATAATAATAATAATAATAAAGGTAAAGGCCCTCCCATTGTTCATCAATTTGCTCGAGCGGGCCCAGTAACGTCTCCATTGGAGACTTTGTTGTTACTGTGTTTGGCATATCGAATACGTCACGGGGAGCTTGCCAGGCTCTGCCGGGTGGGCGGGATACTCTCGGTAGCTTGCCGGGCTCTCCGAGAGGGGCGGAGGAATCGAACTCACGTCAGCCATGTTGGCTGCGTGCAAGGCAAACGCCCTACCACTGTGCTATCACTCCAGCCCAATAATAATAATAATAATAATAATAATAATAATGATAAGAAAGAAAGAAAGAAAGAAAGAAAGAAAGAAAGAAAGAAAAAGAAAGAAAGAAAAAGAAAGAAAGAAACTTGGGCTCCTATTAACAGTGCAAATGTCATAAAGAGTCCCTGAATCTCTCCACCCTCAGATTCCTGATCTGGAAAATTGCTGAGCACAGAAGGGTGGGCAGGGGACCTTGGCAGGTGGCATGCCCGAACTACCTCACCTTTGGGGGCTCTTTTGAGTTGAACCACTTCTTCTGCTTCACGTGCACAAATCTATTTGTGGAGTTTCTTTTCAAGGTACTTCTTTACTGATCTGCTCATTATCCTCACATTTCTTTCTATTTTTGTATGACTGAAATCCACTCGTGAACAACTTTGTAACTATGCACCTCACGGTGATTCAATAGATTTTTTAAGAAAGTAAAATAAAAGATTGCTATTTGCAGCAACGTTATTCACAGTCCTGATGGCCATCCGGTTTCAAGCCTACAACGTTCCAACACCAACACCCTCTATCAGAGTGTCTACCTCCCTCCACCATGATCTTAGGGTCCCCTCCCAAGTGCCCTCCCCCACCCTAAACTCTCCCTTGGTAAGTTTAGTTCTGTAAGTCTTCCTGATGTCTTTCAATCCATTTTGTCACAGAGACACCATTCATATCTCTCACAGGTCAGGGGAGGAAGCAAGAATTATGCAGGTCGGTCAGGGACTGAGAGATAGTACAGTGGGTAGGACGCTTGCCTTGCATGTGGCTGACCCAGGTTCAATTCCCATATGCTCCCCTGAGTCCCACCAGGAGTGATCCCTGAGCATAGAGCCAGGAATAAGTAGCGAGCACCATCAATTGTTGGGCCAAAAACCAAGAAAGAAAGAAAGAAAGAAAGAAAGAAAGAAAGAAAGAAAGAAAGAGAGAAAGAGAGAGAAAGGAGGAAGAAAGGAAGAAAGGAAGGAAGGAAGGAAGGAAGGAAGGAAGGAAGGAAGGAAGGAAGGAAAAGAATTACTATTGATAAACTAACAAGCATAGTTCAAGCTTTCACACCCTCTGCAGACCCCATGTCTGAATTGTTGCTGCAATCACACTTGGAAAATCGAAGGGCCAGAGAGATAGTGCAGTGGGTAGGGTTCTTGCATTCCACACACCAGGGTTCAATCCCCAGCATCCCATACAGTGCCCCTAAGCACTGCCAGGAGCAATTCCCAAGTGAAGAGCCAAGAATAATCCCTGAGCATTGCTAGCTGTTTAAAAGCATTTGGCTTTTATTTTTTAAAAGCCAAAAAAAATAAAAATAAATAAACAAAACCAAAAATCCAATGGAAAAATTGTTTTCCTGGAGCCTGGAGCAATCGCAGGTCCAGTAGACATGCAATTTGCAGGCATTCAAATTGGGTTCAATCCCCAGCCCCTCACATGGTTCCCTGATTACCCTGCCAGGAGTAAGCCCGGTTGTGCTCCCTGCCAAGAAAAATCTAGAAAAGCAATGGGGCACATTGATGTCCATTCTCCTATGCGAGAGTCTCAGAGGAAGGAAACTGGGCTGGCAGAAGGGAGCGGGGTATCCTGGGATCTCTGAAGGGAGAGATGAGCAATAGGGAAAGTCTGTCTCAGCTGTTCAACAGAGGCTGTGGAGAGCAGACACACATCCCTCGGCCCCATCTGGAGTGTGTCTAGTCCGAGGACAGGAATGTCCTCACCTGTGATGCACTGGTTAGCGGTTGACCCTCATTCCAACCCGTGGAGTCTGAGCTGGGCCCCATGCCTGAGCGTCAGGGCTCACCCACAAATCAGTAACAACCGCTGACTACCCCCTCCCCAAGATCACCCCCACGTGGCCTCTTTGTTCACAGCCCTAAGCCTGGTCTCACGGGTCTGTGATATTTTGAAAATCCCCACGAGCCAACTTGGCCTTTTCCACGCGCATTCACCATGAGTTCCTCATGGCGTCCAGCTTCCACTGTGCTCACAGTGCTCCATCCCAGACACTGGAAAGACCCAGGAGAACAAGACTTGCAGTTCTGTCGGACAGAGATCAGGAATTACTGGAGATTGCCCAGAACTGGGAACTGGAAGCGTCAAAAGGCAGAGAGGACAGAGGGTGGGGCTCATTGGTAAAGCATTTGCTTTGTATGCGTGAGGTCCTGGGTTCAATCCCCAGCACTGCAACACCCCAAGCATTAAAAAAAAAGTTTTGTGTGTTTGTTTTGGGGCCACACCCAGTAGTGCTGAAGTCTTGCTCCTGGCTCTGTGCTCAGGAATTACTCCTGGCAGGAGTGATTGGGGGACCATGCATGGTGCCGAGAATCAAACCCAGGTTGGCCGCATGCAAGGCAAATGTCCTATCCATTGTGCTATCACTCTGGCCCCCCAGAATAAAATTTCTTGGGCCAGGGAGAAGGCCCAGAGGGCTAGAGCACATGTTTTAGAAATGGGAGCTCAAAGTTTGAACCCTGGCACTGCATAAACTCTCAGTACAGAGCTAGGAATACCGCAGGGTGTGGCCCCAACATATTTTAAGTTAAAAAAGAAAAGTCAATAAAGAGGCTTAGGGGAGGTGTGGAAAGGGACTGCCAGCTCCAAGGACAAGATGGCACAAAGCCCAGTGCCAGGATGCCCCACAGAGCCTGGCATTTCAGATATGCTCAGTCCCCAAGCCCCAAATCACAGACCCAAGGCAGTAACCAAGCAAAGACCTGCATGAATCTAGAATGAAGTTCCGGAAATGGAAATATATTACAGTGGGTAGGGCACTTGCTTTGCATGTAGCCTACCCAGATTCAATCCCTAGGACCCATGTGGATCCTCGAAGCCTGACAAGAGTGATCCCTGCCCAAGAACAGATGACTGGTTAAAGAAACTTTGGTACATCTACACAATGGAGTACTATGTAGCTCTTAGAAAAGATGAAGTCATGAAATTTACATACAAGTGGTACAATATGGAAAGTATCATGCTAAGCGAAATGAGTCAGAAAGAGAGGGATAGACATAGAAAGATTGCATTCATCTGGGGGATATAAAGTAACAAAGTATGAGATTAATACCCAAGAATAGCTGAGATCAGCACCAGGAGGATTACTCCATAACTTAGAGGCCAGCCGGGTATCCTAGAGGAAAGGGCAGTTCAGATAGAGAAGGGAGCACCAAATAAAGGATGTTTGGAGGATCCTCCCAGGAGGGGAGATGCATGTAGAAAGTAGACTATGGACTGAACATGTTTGCCACTCAATGCCTCTTTTGCAGACCACAACACCCAAAAGGAGAGAGAGAACACAGGGGATTGCCCTGCCACAGAGACAGGGGGGATGGGGGGATGGGGGTGGGAGGGATATTATCCATGGTGGTGGAAAATGGGCACTGGTGGAGGGATGGGTATCTGATCATTGTATAATTGAAACCAAAGCACAAAAAATTGTAAATCTACAACTTTAAAAAAAAAATAAAATAAAGGGAAAAAAAAAGAGTGATCCCTGAGCACAGAGAGCCCAGAGAAATCCCTGAACACTACCAAGTGAAGCCCAAAAACAGTCAAGAGGAAAAAAAATTAATAGAATGAAGTGTAAAGGATGAAACTCTCCAGGGGCATAGGAGAACAGCCCAGTGCAGGTACAAAAGAGAAAACCACCAAACCACTTGATACTTTGCCAAGCATATGCTGGTGGCCCTCCTTTCTCGGGACCTCCTTCCTACAGACCTCCTTCTTTTTATTTTTTGATGGGGGAGCACACCCCACAATGCACAGGGGTTACTCAGAGCACAGGGCTCTGCATTCAG